GCCACCTACTGGACAATCTGCTGAGCTCAACTTCATGCTGCTTTATGAGTGCATGGTGATATATTGATGCATATAGTTCATCATTTTTAGTTTTTATACTTTTCTGTTTGTGCATGATTCCTCAAAGTAATAGGAGGTGTAAAATTAGTTTCCCATGTGTTCAAACTCAGAAAATGTTACTTAGGCAAAATGCAAAAAAACAAACTAGTTTAACTATTGAGTGACTGTAGGTTTCAGTCTCTGCTGATGATAACAGTCGGCTCTCTAGCGGTCAGGAGAGGTCTGGCCGTAACTGAACCCAGTCATACTGGACTGGTTCCTCAGACCACAGAGACCACAAATGAGGGACGGGTCAAGTCCCAGACGCCAGCCGCTGACCCTCGCTGTCACAGATACGCCACAGACAGGTCAGTCTGCCTCTGCAGAGCAGCACACCGGGGTTTTCTGAGTTCATTTCACAGACACACACTTCACAGCCACGTGCTGGTCGTTAGATGACTGTGTGTGAGTGGCCTGTGGGGGATGAATGTGTTCAGAACACACTCTCACCTCTGAATAAAACACACGGCCTGCTGCTGAGAGTGACACGAGCTGACACATCCAGATATTTGACATAGTATGCATTTGATATACATACGTTTATATATATATTAGTGCTGTCAAGCGATTAATCACGATTAATCGCATCCATAATAAGTTTTTGTTTACATAATATGTGTGTACTGTGTATATTTATTATGTATATATAAATACACACACATGCACGTATATATTTAAGAAAAATATGTTACGTTTATATATGAAATATATTTATATATGATATAATTAATATGAATATAAATATATACATGTAAATACATGTAAATATTTTCTAAATATATGCTGTATGTGTGTCTTTATATATACATAATAAATATATACAGTACACACATATATAATGTAAACAAAAACTTTTATTTTGGATGCGATTATCGTTTGACAGCACTTATATATATATATATATATATATATACACACACATATATATAAGATTTGTTTGATGATTTGTTTATTTATGGAAGCCCATTTCCTAAGTCATAATTATGAAATAAAATTATTTTATCAAAACTGACATGCTTCATAATTATTACATGTAAAGTTGAAATCATGAAATGAAAAGTTGAATGTCATAATTATTACTTTTTATGTCATAATTGTAATGTTGATATAGTATCTCATTTTGCCATATATCTCATAATTTTGACATTTTACTGTAATTTTGGCTTTTTATCATAATTGTTGAATTTTATCTCATAATTGACTTTTTATCTCATGACAAATTACGTCATAACAACATTTTATGTTAGAATTTTGACTTTTTATGTCATAAGTATGATTATCATTTTGACTTGTCTGTCTCATAATTGACTTTTTATCCCATAATGTCATCTTTGTATCATAATTGTTATCATTTCTACGTTTTGTTAAATATGACTTATAATTTTGACTTCTGTCTTATGACTTTTTTACCTCATAATTTCATCTTTGTATCTTATAGTTGTTTTTGTCATGATTTCAACTAAAAATGTTGACTTTTTATCTTATAATTATGACTTTGTATCTCATAATTATTTTTGTAACAGTTTTGACTTTTTTTGTCATATTTATGATGGTTTAAGCCATAATCATGTATTTTTTATATTTTATGACTTATCTTATTATTGTTAATTGTTTTTTTGTTTTTTTTGCCATAATTTTGACCTATGTCATAATTATGATTTACCAAAACATTATTTTTTTCTTATAAGAAAAATATATAAAATTCACAAGATATTATTATTGTTTGTTTGTTTATGGAAACCCATTTCCACCACATAACAATTCTAATTGACACATTAAGTAGAAATTATGAGATAGCCAAGTCATAATTATGAGATAAAATAGTTGAAGTCAGTTGAAATCATCAGTTAAAAAGTTGAAATTATGACAGTAAATGTCAATTGACAAAGATTCAAAATTGATACAAAAAAAGTTGTTTTTGTGATAATTGACTTAGTTTCTCATAATTCCAATGTCATAATTTTGACTTTTTCGTAATAATTATGACTTTTTATCTCATAATTACAACTTTGTATGTCAAAACGAATTTGTCATAATATCAACTTTTTATCAAATTTTTTTTTCCATAAATTAACTTTGTATGTCATGTTGTAATACCAATATTGGACATGAAGGATGCGCTGAAGTATTTGAGCAAATCTTCATCAAACCCACTGAATCAGACTGTAAGTGTACACATGCAGAATCAGATGCAGGGCTTCTGGGGTGTTTCTGCACAGAGGGGAGCTGGCAGAGCCGGCCCAGAAAAAGCCCAGTTCTCATTCAGCTGTGACATATTTGGACGTTTGGAAGTAGAGCAGCAAAACGAGCCTTTAAATCCATCTCACTCTCCTGTAAATTACAGCCCTGCATTTTTAATTTCCTACACATCATACAATGCTATTCAGCGGCGTCCAAACCAAACACGGCCATCGTACAGATGAACCCGCTATCCTGACTTTCACTGAGACGCTTTCAACAGATCCGTCTCAAAGTCAAAGTCAAAGAATCCAAATACAATGTTGAAGAATTACGCCAACAATGCAGTACAGTGATACTATAAAATATGGTATTGCAATTTAAATGCATCAGCTTTCAATGTTGCCATATGCAATATGTTTAAGTTTAGACTCACAAGACTCATATAGCTATAGATGTGATTATGGAAGATGTTTTGGATTTGATTTTGGACTCTTGGAGCCAGACTTGGTCATAAAAAAGAGCTTTCTAAACAAAAGAGAGTATTTGTTCATCTTCGTTCACTTTCTTTCTTTTCCAGCTTGAGAAGGAAACGTCCGATTCAGAGTAGCTCATTCTAGCAAACATTTGTCCATTTCTGATGCTTGTTTTGTTCTTGTTTCTGAATGTTGGTCTTTGATGGTTTATATGACTAAGAAACATGACAGTCTAGCAGTGTGTTTTTTTTATATGCAATGTGACATGGGGTAAAATCCTGCTTATTTCAGAGCTACACCCGCATTTAACCCTGTTGTACCCCTATATATATATATATATATATATATATATATATATGTGTGTGTGTAATTTTTGTTATCTATTTGTAATTTTTGTATGTTTTGTTATCAGTGTTGCAAACTCATTGAAATATAGCATTATGAAACTAAATGTATTATTTAAGATGAGTTTTGAAAGGTGTCTACTTGGCAGCACGTCCAAAAATATACATAAGAATTTAGGAATTGAATATTATACATGCATTTAAACATCTTGTGTCAAAATGCATTTGTTCAGCTGATCAAGTGCACTTTCAGATTCAGATATTTTTTAAGGCAAACTTAAGCAAAGCATATATATATATATATATACACAGTGGTGTGAAAAAGTGTTGGCCCCCTTCCTGATTTAGCACTCGTTGGAATAAAGCTTATTAAATGGTTTTCATTGTTTCTGAATGTCCTTCACTGCTCTAGCCTGTAATCATCTTGAAAATGTTTGTCTTCCTTTTTGTCTGTCATTTATAGACACTTTTACAAATGAGGAAATCTGCTCTTTTCCTTATAATGAAAATGAAGGCTGATCCATGACTGTGAAGCTCTTTTGCAATTTTGTTTTATTAAAAAAGACATGGTCAGCTATGCTTTTAAAGTGATTCTTATAGGACGCTTCAACTAATGAGTTTAAACTCAGCAACAGCAGAACATGTAAATACCAGCAGATGCTTTGAAGCTCTTTCTAGAGGTAATGATGGCTGGAAATATTCATATTGCACTGAACCAGAAAAACAATGGTTTCTGTGCCCTCCACACAGCACTACATTTATTAAAAGCGTTTGAAAACAATGGCATTCAGACAAACGCTGCGTCTCACAGACATCTGATAGCGTTGTGTCGTTTCCAGACAGAACTGTTTCCAATCACAGCGCTTTCATTCGGACCAGTTCACGTCCAAAACAACTCCGCGCTCCTCGAGATTTTTCAATCTTGTCGAACAATGGGAGTTTAAAGTGAAGAAATGTTGGATTGCGTGAAGTGAAAATGAAGTGCGTGGAGTTCATGGCCCTCAAGAGCAGAAGAACAGTCCCAGTTCATCGGGATTCTTTCATGTTCATTTCAGCAAAAACAGCCTCTTATTAAAGAAAACAAGCAGAGAACCTGAACTGCTCGTGAGACATCAGCACATATTTATCAAATATAAACCCCAGAAAGTGTCTGGACTCTTATAAACGTGTGAATGTGATTCATCAGGATCTTTTCTCTTCACACTTTTCTCATGTTTGAAGTCTCAACGTGTTTGAATCAGCTGTTTTTTTTTTTAGATTTTATAGCTACCATTAACACGTTGCAAAATGTATGCGTTTCCAGCATGTTTTCTAATCTAGTTAATAAACCTGCCATTATATATGACAAATATTGTTTGCGCTTTTACTTTTTATTTTTTGCTCTTTTGCAAGTTGCTATGGATTAAAGCATCTGCTATATATATATATACATAATTTTTTATAATATACAATTTTATTATTTATGTGTGTATATATAT